GCGGGGGCGTCGGGCCGGAGCTCGGCCGCCCTGAGCCTCCGGGGGGATGCCGACGCGCCCCGGGCTGCCAAAGTCTTCCCCGCCGGAGATAACAAATTAACCAGCTCCGCAGCTCTCCCGGAGCCCGAGCGGGAAACTTCTTCCCTCCCGGGGTGTAAACGGAGAGGCAGAAAGTTGCTCCGAAATAAGGACCTCCCGCGAAGCTGTGCCAGTTGGCAGAGAAACACGCTTGCCTTGGCGAGAGGCAGGTTTTCTGTAAGAATCAGGGGATTATTTTCCAAGTGGCAGGTCTACCCTCTTTCACAGTCAGTTGCCCAGCTGCTGTAATTCAGCTTAATTTCAGTTCAGGTGGCAGAATTGCAATCATTTAAATTACCCAGATATCTAGCCTATCATTTTTGCTTCAATCCTTTTCGTGTCAAACAAATCCAGAAAAATATTTTAATAGGACGTAAACATGTTATGAATTTTGGGCAAGGAAAGGGATAACGTGCAGACCAAAGGGAGGGGAAACAACTGTTAGAGTATTTTTAAGAGAATGTACTGGTTATCAATTTCCTCTCCCTCCCCGCATGAAAGCATTCAGATAGCAGCACTTTTCGTAATAAATGAGCACGCATCCTCACACTTGCATGTCTCGTGTTGAAACTGTCAAGGTTTTACGTTTATGAGATGCTTTGATTTTTGCTTACCTGCTAAAAAGGAATAGCTCTGTAGCAGGGGTTTTTTTAAGCCATGCCCAGTTAATTTTGCTTATTCTGCTTTTACTGCCCAGATTTGTGGTTTTGCAGCTGTAGCTGGTGATACATAATTTCAGTTCAGAATCAGATACCCACCAGATATTAAAGTACTGGAGATACCCAAAGAGAGAGGATGCTAAATTATTTGGAAAAGTAGGTTTCTTCTGGGTGCCTGGTATGAAAGCGTAAAAAGAACAGACGTTCTCTTTGCATGGATACTAATTGCAAATTCCCATGTGCAATGTAAGTTGCACCCTTTTGAAGTGGCAGGCACCATTTCAGAAAGAGAAAAGAAGGATCTTGTGTCAAAAAGTTTAGACCATGAAGACCTGAACCGGTAAAGGGATCCTCAGCGTATGTACTTTCACCTTATGCATTGATGTACTGTCCACATAATAAAGAAATACCTAAAAGCTTAAGTATGATTATTGATGTACAGCAGTGCTTCTGCTACCAAATCTTAGCAGTTAAAGCACTTAAAACAATTATTTCTGTATTTTACCAAGATTCTGCTGTACCTGAGTTACTTTCATGTACTGCTGAAATGTAGCTCTTTCTGGTGTTCAAAACAGGTATCAATAGTTTCTAACAGCGGTGCAGAGAACTTAGGACAGAAAACAGTTTCAATAATAGGGTGAAAATGCAACTGGGATTTTAGGTTTTCTTAATAAATAACATGCACTATAAAAAGAGAACACTGCTCCCTTCACAGATGTTTTCGGCAGTTGCTTGAAACGGATACCCACATCCCCACATTTTTGAGCATGTGTATTTCCAGCTAGCAGTGGTCAGTCAGACAGGGGACTCTCCTGAACGTGTCACCAGCCAACTTGCACTGACGGCAATGTATTACTTTTGTATGCTAACCATAGCCTAACTAAATGAGACGACAAATCCGTCTGGCCCAGTACTCATTCGGTGCTGGTACCACAGCTAATGACTGACTCAGCCAGGGACGTGCATTATCCCGGTACTGTGCACCTCCCATTCACCACTTACTTAAAGGATCATCTGTGTTTCATAGTAATCTACTCCTAATAATCAGATGCAATGAGATGGGAGAGTACTGTGTGTTGTTTCAGATCCTTGGGAGAATTTCGGAAAATGGTGACGTGGACAGGTTCCAGGTACGTAGATGGGCTCCTGAGGTAAGCCCTTAAAGGCTCAAGGCTGTGAAGTCCTCAGCAGTCTGAGCTTCCCCTGACCTCAGGAGAACATGTTCGCTGGGCACAGCGCAGTGTGTTTGGTTATTACTGCCGACGTCTCCTTGTATGAATGCGCTCCAATCTACAGCGTACAATTTAAGTCGCCTGTTGTTAAAGTCAAATGGCTCATGATAGTCTGTAATGCAATATAAATAATAACAGAGCGTATGTAAAAATATTTGGGAAAACATTAAGAGCCTGTAATTTGCTCTCTAGCCCTCAGATGCATAGGCTTGTTGCAAGATAATTTCGCCAAATCGCTGAGTCATCTGTAGCAGGAGGTCTCCACGGTAGTAAGTATGGGCATGAAGAATGTCAAAAGTTGCTTGATAGGAAGGAATATGGAATACTTTACTGTCTGGGTAATGCATGTATGCAGGCTGCACACATTGTCTGGGGTTCATTTGTTTTTCATTTTAGAGCATCTGAGGATACCATTTAATTACAGTGAGGTTGTTCATTAGCCTTCCTGACAGCGTGGCGACGTGGTCACTATGGTCGGTATCCAGATGGTCTGGACTTCAGACACTTGGGCTAGCTTATGGAGGCAGACAACGCATTAACGTTTCCTACCAATTTTTGTGCTAGAGTAAAACTCCCTCAAGAACGGGAATGTCAGTCTTGTACACCAGCCAAAAACCTGAGCCAATAATGACTACCATCATCAGGGTAACTCAACCTTTCTAGTCTCCCACAGTATGAAAGCTGCCTAATTTTGCAGGAGAAAATTAGAGCCTGTTTATTTGTTTCCTTGCCAGCCTTCCCTAGGTACTTATATACATTGTCCTGCCTATGGGCCCCATTTGGTCTTCAGGCTAACACCATTTTGTAAGTTTCTCACAGAACAGGGTTGATTTTTGCTGAGGTGATCTTCTTTTGGAGACAAATTAAGCAAGTGGATGAAGGTGTATGTCATGCCAGCTACTAACTGCTGCCCCCAACATGTCACAGGTTTGCTATGGCCTTGGTGTTCAGCACCTCAATCTGTCTCGCTTTTTCCTCCTCTGGCAGTGTCTCTGTCTTCTGGGATGTTGAACCTCCATGACCAGATGAGTGCTTTCTGGAGATACCATAGGGGACCTCAGCTGGTCCCCAACAGGGGACCGTTGGTAATGATAAAGGAGGTACAAACGGCCGAAAGAAACGTACTGCTTTTTAAACATGGACGAATCCATAAAATAGAGGCATGTACCTCAGTTATCTAGTGAATCCTAGGCAAAGCCTTACGAACAAAAGAGAAGGGCAGTAAGGGAGACTTATTCCTCATCCTCAAAACATGCTGGCACTCCAGTGGTTTATTTGTTGCACCTCTTCTCGAGGCATGAGGTCACTGCAAAAGCTATGAATAGGTAGCAGTTTGTGAAGCACAGCAATTTCTGGTTTTGTTTCTGCTTATTGCCTTCCTTTATGACTTCTTTCTTCTAAATGAACAAATGAGCGTGCATGCTCATTAGACAGAAATACTTGCACTCATCATCTTCCAGACAGCCCTAACTACAGCTCATTCTCAAGATGCTCTCTTTCAGGCTACAAAGCCTGAAAGAGCTATTCATCACGTTGCCACTGCTCTGTCTACATATTTGTCCTTACATAGGCTAGGTTCTTCCTCTTCACCCCACAGATTAGCCCACAACCTGGATGCCCTAATCAAGGGAAATTGCCCTGCACTTCAAATAAAGAGTTAGTCTGCTTTCTCTAGGGTTGAGGTTCCACCTCGCTCTCCCTCTCCTTTTCCCACCCCTTTCCTTGTGCTGGCACTGGCTTCTGCTTGACCCTTCCCCAAGCCAATTGAGCTCGACGAGCTGATGAAAAAACTAGCTCAACAGTGACAGTGAGTAGTTTTCTGCTGGTTTTGTAATCAGCACAGAGGAGGCTGATGAGGCAGCCCGTGGCTGGGGCCACTGAGCTTCAGTTCCCTGGAGCTTCAGCTGGGCAGCACTGGCTGCTCGTGCCAGTGAGGTGCACGGGCCTTTGCTTCCCCTCGGCAGGCATCCCTGCTCTGCCCCTTTTTCAAACCTCGCAGCTCTTGGAGCACCTCAGTTGTAGGACTGTTTTCTTTCACCAGGATTGAACAAGCGTATCGCTGCATTACTTCTGTCTGGTAGGTGTCTGAAACACAGCGCACTGAAAATGAGACAGGTAAATCAACCAG